AGATATGTAAAAAAAATATAATTATTAAATACTGCCTGTAGTTTACGCGAGCAGTACACATTTAAAGAAAAACACTTTAACGGTTTAAAACTCTAAATATATTACTTTAACTTGTTTGCAAAATCTTATTACTACGGTCCAGCTACGTTTCAGATGTTTTGCAACAGCCGTGGGCATGAAGCGACGGGCCCGTCGTTCGCGTTTTAAATCGTTAAAGTGTTTTATTACAATGTGTCCTATCAAATAGAATATGTTCATTTACCAACAGATTTTTTGTCACGTCGCAAAGTAGTCAAACAAACAGAAAGCACAGTGACGCATTGGGACGTAGTTGCAACATTTCAACCCCTTCGATGGAGGTTTTTTATCGCAGAGCCGAGATAAATGTCCGGTTACCGGGGGTTCAACATTGATTTATACTGGACGTCCGTCAGGCAACGAATTACGAAGGCAGCCATGTAAATCACCTGCTGTCGCTGCTGAATCAATACCCTAATAGGTTTTCAATAAAAATTACTTCCCGGGCCTGTCTGTAACGATATAAGTCTTTCACGCTATGTAAAATAATATTGAACGCCTGCGCAGGTATATAAGTTCATTGTAATTCCATTGCGAATATGTTATAAGTTTTAAATTTGTTAACTTTTTTATGTGAACCTATCTAATTAAATTGATTTAATTCGTAACAGCATTGTTCCTATTAAAATAAATTCTACTAATCTTAGTTAAGTAAAAATATTTTTATTAATACATGTATCACGAGAGACTTAACCGTTAACAATGGAAAATATTCAATTTATTATTAGTTTGGACATTTTTTGGCTAAGACCCGCTGTTTTAAATGCTTTGGTCATGAGGATTAGATAAGATTGAAATCTTCGTAATTACCAAATTAAATCTAAACTAGCTATATTGCATTTAATTTATTGTACAAAATTAAATAAGGCTATATCTATTTAAATAAAACACCTTTAACGGTTTCAAACGTGAAATGTACGTGTGGCACAACGTTTCTTATGCTTTTCTGCAGCTGTATTACTCCGTGCCCAGCGTCCGATGTCAGGACGTGCAAACAAATCAAAATTAGCCGTAGTTAAATCTGCCTTTTAAACTGTTTCATTAAAGTGACTGTAGTTATAGTGGCTCAGTTTATCCAATATTTTAAAGCTTTGGATCGATAAACGTGCCGCGTATAATACAGAGTTTCAGCTACCCCCAGCTTAGATTAAAACAATAACTGACATAATAAAAAACAACAAGAAATAACCCTGTCGTTACTGGGCTGATGTTTATTGCATCGCAGGTTGTCAAAAGTTTTTATAGGTAAAGTTGATCGTAAAACACGTTCAGGTGGATTAAAAAGGGCAACACTTGAAGGCTTGGGAGGGGTTCGGCTAAACGAGGCACATTATTTGTCCCTGTACGCCTTTACGCGTTGTTTATTTCGGTAATTTAGGGGTTTTGTAAGCGCTAATGATAGATTTTAGAAAATGAGAGGAATGAACGACTAATTAACCGTTGTGCTATCAAAAACAAACGTAACACTTGTTAACCTCTGTAGCCAAATGGTAAACGTATTGCCTAACATTGTGTTATACGCGAGAGCTCCCGGGTTCGAATGTCGTGAAAACAATAGATAGAATAGTTCGAGCATGCACTGAAGTCTGATTACGACTTTCCTATTACTAAACTAAGTACCGGTTAGTAAAACGGACACAGAAATGTGTTCGCCCTATGCCTCATGAGGGGGAAACAGGAATTCCCTTATGTTCTCTGAATATATCAGCACGTCATGATAGTTTTCAATTTATTATCGCTGTCAATTTGGTTTTGTTTTGCCCTCCAACAAATATTATATTTAATGATATTTTTTTAACATTTACTTAAAAAATTTAAAAGTGAAACAAATATTGTACCCGTGAAAATTAATCTCAAGACCGGTTGATAATTGGCCACAATGTTGCTCATAAAAATTCCTTTATTACGCATAAGTTTATAAAACATGTGAACCTGATCTAGTGTTTTACTAATTTAATTAAATAATTAGTTTATACTTTTGGACCAACGGTCAAGTATATTGATACAAGTCTTTTATCGTTTAAAATTGGAATTTCCTAAAGATACTGTACTTTAATTATTACGAAATGAAAAAAATACTCATTTTATTTTCATATTTATCATAAACTATGCCGGTTATACAAAATTCATTGTATAAATAGGCCTGCATAGTATACAGTTTCCAGTAAGCCGGATTTGTAGGTCGTGGGAGACAATAACCCGGCAGCAATGTAACATCACTCCAGACATAACAATGACGGCTGAGACATTCATTACGGGAACAAAATGTTACTTAAAACAACCTACGGTAATGACAAAGTAAATTAGACCTAAACACTATGAGGATATAGTCGAAAATTCAACGACCCGTACATGGAAAACTAAGTATGTTGATTTTCATCTAGCAGTGACAGAAGATAAAACTCAGAAATGACTGGAATTATATGTAGAATAGGGAGTAAGTAGAAATGTTTAGTAATATAAAAATAATTTCTTAGTAATGTACAGTAGATACAGTTAAAGCTAAAACTGAATTTATCGCGTTTCATAAAGATATAAATAAACGCCTGATTTGTGTAGATCTACAGAAGTACGTAGATTATAATTTAGATTTAAGTATAAAGACCATATGTATAATATGCTACTCTCAGAAATTACTGGTTCGAAATGAAACATTATTTTCGTGAAGAACCAAAAAATGTATATAACAGAATGATCTTTAAATGATCTAAAAAAATGTCCGCGACATGTCTATCTTTTAAGATTAACTTTCAAGAATGAGACGCGAATGACGTCGTAGGTAACTATAAATTATAAAGTTGAGGAGGTAGTTTGCAAAAAAATGATAGGACCAAAATTAATATTCTACGCGCAGGAGGTCACGGCTTGTAGTACATAAAATATAAATGTTAACCAAAGTGTTAAAATTTGTAGCAGTCTTAAGCATAGCTCGGAAGTTGAGTGACCCTAAATGAAACTTGACCGCTTTAGGAAGTGCTACCGTCAAGACGCAGTAGGTAGAAACATCATTTTGCCTCACTTCACAGTATAATACTGCGATCTTTACCGTTAACAACGCTTTGATGGCCTCGTCGGTCAGTGGTGGCATAATTAAGTCGTGGGTTCGCTTCCCAGCGCTTCCAACATAATTCTTAGCGTTAATTTAAAATTTAGAAACATGTTTGGAACATCTAAATGTTTAATGTATTGTAGAAATATCGAAGTTTCGTCACAAAACGTGCACAAATGTTTAAGGAGTTGTAAATGTGTAGGCGCGTTTCGGCTTCAGTCTGTAGATTTCTAAAAGCCAAATAGGTCGTTTGAATATCTTGTCCAAATGTTAGCTAAGATATTTCACCTTCCATCATATGAACCACACGGCTTTCCATCCAAAGCAATCCATCAATTAGGAAATGTTTAAATATCCCAGCCGCGGATATAATATGACAGAGGAAAAATTACTAGTGGGAAATCTCTGCTTTAAACAACATTGCCCTCGGGAGAGGCCTCGTGGCTTGTAACGTTATGAAAAATGCGTGGTCTTCTTATTAAATAAGCAGATTTTTATGATCAAGAATGCGAAGCGTATGTAAAATGAGGACGGGAGGCCTGTGATGTAGGTTACGTTATGTAGGGACATGTAGAATTAATCCTAACGAAGAAATGTTTGATACATTTTACTACATATTGTGTAGGGAAAATCTGTCAAACATTTCCTCATTTTTTGTTGTCTCCTACTTATCACAGGCCTATACTAGAGATTCACTCTGAAAAACCGTACTAATAATTTATCCGACCTGAAATTCGAACCTGGGGCTTCGTTATCGGAATTCAAACTTAATAACCTCTAGACCTACTTAAATGACTCCATATATTGTCTGATTTTTGTGTCGGTTATATATCGCATGTATTAGAATGTACACATTGATAAAAAATATTTCGATTCACGACAATACTAACAAGTTAGGCACAAGTGTTTAATATTCACTCCGAAGTCCTATATTTAAATACAAGCTTTTTACCTAAATATTGATTACTAGTTTTAATAACCTTTACACAGTGTTCGTAGTCCCGGTAACGTCCAGGATCACCGGTGACCGGACGTTATTTCAGTACCGGAAAATGCCCAATCTCCGGGTGCTTCATATTTTTCCTACACTTTTCTGACATCTGTTGCTGTTTAAACTCAAAATACTGCCAGAACTCCTCTTTTTATCACCTGGTAATTATGGTGTTATATATATCCTTGTTTAGTCGTTGCTTTGGTTTGTTTCACACTAGTGGTAACTGTAAGGCGTAACACCACTTATTCTTACTATACTCCTCATAACATAATCTCATCATAAATTAATAAAATATTAATGTTTTCAAGGAATTCAAGAATGTGTTCAGTCAACGAAAATTTTTGTGTATTCTTTTTAAGTGTATATAGCTAATCATAAATCAAACACTCATATCAAAACTAAATTATACATTTATATTGTGTTACAGCGCCATCTTTTCTATTCTATAGTAACTAATATGTGCAATGAAGACCAAATGAGAATTATACTAGCTTAGTTTACAATTTTGTTGGTAGATGGCACTGCTCACAATTGTAAGGCAGAGTAGACTAATGCAATTTTGTGACTTTAGTTATTTATATTTTAAGTTTGAAAATTTTAATCTACAAAGGCATAGTAACCGAAAATTTTTAACATAATAATCCTTCCCTAAATAATACAGTACAAATTCATTTTCGCCTAAGTTAATTGCGCACTTTTATTTTCCTCTTTATTGAAAATATTTTTGTTATTAGGCTGTTCTGCCTCTAGCAGCCTCAATTTATCTGATAATGAATGATTTTTAACTCACGAATAATAGATGAATTTAATACAACAATAATTATTTTGTATTTCTTTACTAAGATTAAATAAACCTATGAAAACATTAAATTAAATAAGCTAAACTTCATCAATTAATTTGAATCTATTGTGCTGAGGTTCTGGTATAATATTGAAGTATTTCTTGTATATGAGCTGACCACCTCTACCACCATATACTCTCTGTACCCATGTGTGATCCCAGTCTGGTTCAAATTTTTCACAGGTGACAATTACCTTTCCCGGTTCCATGGCAAATAAGGTTCCATTACGTCCCATGCCAACCTGTTACAAAATATTAAGAGTGTTTAACAACTTTTCAATTCAACAGATAAAAAATATAACATATTTAAACTGAATAGGGGCTTACACGCTTACACGTGAAACCTAGTCCACAAGGTTTCACGGTATAACTTCAACATAAGGAAGATACAACCGATTATTTATAATATTTTTATATAACGGCCGAGAAGAATTTAGGAAACACTTGCAGTTGATTGGTACAAAAATTATTGTCTTAATTTCATAGTTAGATTCTGACAGTAACGCTAACAGCTGTTTTTAATTCAGGTTATAATTTTGCCCTACTCTGTTATTTAGTATTTGTCTTAAAAAACTATAAGAACAATTTCTTACATTTAATCCTGGATGAAATCTAGGGTCGCGTTGTGTGGCTAAAATATGACCCGCTTGCACAAAATGACCATCTTGCACCTTCCAACCTCTATGCTTGGGTCTAACCTTACAATTTGTATTTCTTGTACTGCCTCCAGTTTTCTTACTTGCGTGACGAACAAAATCTGTAATACACCAATTATTACAGCACTATATTCAATTATGATTAGTAAGAGAGACATTAGTGAAAATAACCTAATAAAGGCGATGCTGGTTTTAAGTAATTCCATAACATTTTACTGTCTTATTGTTATACTTTGAATAAAATTTCTTCTGTTTAAATAAACAAAAGAATCAATACGGTTATTATTGTAGGTGTTTTTTAAAAAATCTGAAAATATTATTGTAGTTTTGCGATTGACATTGACAGCACTGCACTAGTAAATTGACAGTACCATATAGAATATATTTTTAACAGATAACTGCAGTCATGCAACAAACTAACATACAAAAATTTATTGGAAATACCAACTACATATAATTTTTTTTTAGTTTTTCAATGTAAAATGCTTTTCTAAATACGGATATAAATAGAGTTACAAGCAATTAAAATATCTATGTTTCTGAAATGCAAAGGAAGAACTCCAGCTATTTTATATTATCCAGTTATTATTATTTTATTTTATAGTATTTCTTAAACATGCTTTCGTTCATTTAATACTTAATATTGAATGAGGGGTCTCCCCCGGTAACGAACCACCGTCCCAGATGAACGAGTTGTACAGTTTAACCGCATTTGGTTTTAGTCTGTGGATTTCTGATATCTTTTTGAGACGTTATACTATGATGGAATGTTTTCAAATGAACCCTAAAAATGTTCTTTAAGTTTCTAACTCTATGGTTGGGTGAGGGAAATGCGTGAATTACTTAGATGTTAATGTAGACTGTTCACAGCATTTATATTTGTGTCCGCAATTGGTATCTAACGTTTTTAATTAAATGTTAAAAGAGTGTTAATTAAATGCAATTACATTAAAAATAATTCACAAGCGCTAATTGAAAGTCGTAACTCACCTCACCAATTATAATAATAATTAATGTTCGCTTTACTTATAATAAAATAAATTATTTGCTAACATTAAATTCAATTAGAGCTAAAAATGAATTGTTATAGTTTTAAGGTTGCTGCACACTAAATTAAGGATAGTAAACATTGTTTTTAATTAGGTATACTAAATAGACTAACAGCTTTACTAAAAAGTTTTATGCAAGGAACAGATTTATGAGAATATCTTTTGCGGTTATGCTGTTTTGCTTGCTACATTAAATTGAAGGTTTACCCGCAAACCAAACTTATATAATATCTTTCTACAACATCCAGAATGCTTGAATCAAGGACCACGCTTTCAATCAACTACAATTCGCTATCCCATCCGCTTGGTACGTCCTCTGGTCATCAGGATTCTGGACGTTGTTGGAAAATAATAGGTTTTATTTGCAGTATCATCAAATAAAATTTCTAGTTAGTATATAAAGACAAACTTTCCTACTGACTACACTTGAAACATAAAAAAAAAAATGAATCAACAGCAAGGAACGCTGTCGCTGCCGGGTCATGTCCTGCTCGTGTCGCAAATTTTTTTTTCAATGTTAAGTCGACGTGAATTTAAAAAATATATATCATACTTACTTTTAATTAAAATAACATACTATTGTTGATCTATCTTGTTAATAAACTTATATCGCTATATTTGTTGATTAACTTAATTAACATTTCACATATATTTAAAAATTTCATTTCTTATTAAAACATATTATAGTGTCTCCGTAAAAATATTTACAACAAATATGTTAACACACCAGGTTATAAAAAACAGACCACTCAATATCATTTCTGGGATTTACGGAAAGATAATAAAAGTTATTATAAAGCTGACAAGTTTGTATTACTAATCCCAGGAACTACTTGTTCGAATTGAAAAATTCGAATCCTTTAGGCTGCGACCAACGGGAGCGAACAAACGGTTTTCGCTGCGAAAAGATTCAAGATACCAAAAAATAAATATAGAACAATTAAACTTCTTTTAATAATCTAAATCTATTTTGAAGATTAACATACAAGAACCGTTTGTCAGTTAAACAATGTCAATAAAATTTAAATAGTCTTAAATACTTTCTCGCTTAACATTAGTAGATATGTATTATACATGTATTCGTTAGTTATATAGGCATAGGTTAATTTTATTATTTCTATAGCACACTAAAAGTCGTATGTAACTAGCGCGATTATTATTATATCATGAATTTATAATACATAAAACGCAGACCTATAAAAAGCAGTAGTACACAAGTAATGTTCCTAGACGGTTGTTGGTGAAACCTAAAAATATTTAGGATAGAAAAAAATGATTTCTTTAATATTCCTCACCGGGATCGTCTTATCTGGTTTGCTGTCGTGGTTCTTTTTGATACAAGATTCGAAAAAGTTTAACTTTCCGGGCCCAACGGTTCTGCCGGTTGTCGGAAATACACTTTCCCTATTAGTTAGAGCAAGAGGTAAGTTATTTTACTTATAAATGAACAAAAAAAAATGAGTAACATTTACAAATAAAAATAAAGACAATTGTTATATCTATTTTTACAGTTTGAACTTAAATTAATATTTATAGTCAAAACTTTAAAAGATATTATGTATCAATTTTTGTTTTTTTTAATCTCTCACCTCGGGGGACGAACTGGCTACTAATCAACAGGCCGTGGGTCAGATTCTCATTGGGTCAATTTAAAAATGGAATCAATTTCTTTTTTTATATTTTGGACTTCGTCTTGAAAATCTGGAACTGGAAGTGGTAGGAATGTCAAAATGTCGAAAATAAGTAAATAGAGGAATTATTTTAAATAATTATTTATAAAAATGATTATGTACATAAATATATATATTTATTTAGTGTCAAAAATAGAAATTTTTGTTGTGTTAGTTATTTTAAACGGTTTGTTTATGTTGTGTTTTATTCGGTTTAGTTCAGTCTTAAGTCTGAACAGTTCGAAGCTATTTAAGGTGATTTGAGTAATGGTTTATAAATTATGTCGAACTAATGACTACTATTCTAGGTTAATTATTTTTATCGGGTACTACCTGTGTCAGCTACTTTGTCCGCGTAGAATATTTTGGGCATAAAAAATTGTTTTGGCGGAACTCCTGGCCAACCCTAAATTAAAGCGTTAAAAAAGTAAGACATACTGTCGCGGACATTTTCTTACATCATTTAAAGAGGAATCATTGTTTCATACACAATTTTGACAGCTGCAGTTTTTTTCACATTTTTTATAGCCTTCCTCGACAAACGCTCTAACCAATACAAAAATAGTTTTTCAATTCGAACCAGTAGATCCTGAGATTAGCGCGGTCAAACAAACTAAAACCCAGCTTTATATATATGTATAGATATAGATTATTCAAAATATAGTAAAACCTAAGCATTGGCAAGATAACAGACCTCATCTTATGTTTCATTTTACAAACCGATCTTTACAATTAAACGAAACTATTTTTTGTTTATTTTCGCTCTTTCCTTCACCAGTACGCAGTTACCTACAGTAGCAACTATGTACGTTATTACGAATAGTTATTACGTTGTAAGTACCAACATATTTCAAGTATGGGCGCAGTTTATAATGCTATTGAAAATACTCTTTGCAAAATGAAAATCTTCAAATGATAACACGAGTCGCATGATATGTGCAATTAATAGACAATATTATATTTATTTATATATATAAATATAATATGTATATGTAATATAATATGTTATTATTCCTTCCACATACCCACTTAACAAGCCTTCTTTTATTATTTGTTTTCTCCTTTACTTAACATTGCCTGGAAGAGATCGCTGGTTAGCGATAAGGCCGCCTTTTAATTATAAGTTGGTACGCAAGTATTGGAATGTATTATGAATAATAAAGCTCTTATAAATAAATATATATATTATAATTAAACTACAACTGTGTACGGCACAACCTTGAATTGACTTTGGGGCACGGATTTTACATTTGTTGTTAGGGATAAAAATATTGTCCCCTCAGTTGAAGGTACCCAAATGTTACCAACGCGTATTTTGAATTACAACATCTAGCCATACAACTAAAGGAAATTTATGTAGAACGTAATTCAAAATCAGATACTTATATATATATATATTAATAAAAATGTTACATGTCTTCGATTGTAAATATTTGATACCATTCATCTTTTTAATAAAGTTATTACTAATTCGTAATTTTCGATCGCAAGTGCCATCTTTAGTTACTCATTATGAAAGCAATGTAGCATCATTACTCAATTTTGTATTAAATAACTTTTGCATTTACGCGAGTTACCTGTTACTGTCCGCCCCGACAACTTTGTTAACATTAAAAATCAGTCTTCGGCTGGAAATGTCGTGAGGTGGTTGCTAACAGTGTTGATAAAATTTTTAATTGAAATTGACCGTTGAAAATAAGACCAGAAAATGATAGCATTATTAATTTTAAGCGCGTTCGTGTTAATCTGTTTTCTATCGTGGAATCACCTAGTCAAGGATTCAAAAAAATACAATATCCCGGGACCAGCGATCCTCCCTCTTGTGGGAAACGGAATTGATTTTGTGGTCAGAAGATCACGTGAGTGAAATTTATTTTTACCGTTTACGTAATTTCACATATAATTTACACTTTTTATATTCAACAAATTTTAAATGACTTGTTTCTCAGTAATATTTGTTTACCAGAGTTATTTTTTATATTTAATACTGTGTAATTGTTTGTACCTACAACATTCAAAATAATAAGAATTATTTTATCTACATAATGATAAACTGATTCAAAGTTCAGTCAATTTTAAGATTGTATGTAATTTAATATAGTTTTGTAGATAATTTTATTTGACGTAGGACCATAAACGACTGTTTAGTTCTACACATTGAAGTGGAAATGACGACGGTCATTAGAATCATAGCGTCATAATGATAGTTAATGACAGCTAATGGTTTATTTAATATTTAGTTTAGATATTTTGAAGTATAATGTATATATATACTATGGTAGGGTTGTCAAGTTGTCGTATTAGGTTTGATATTTTAATTAGCATTTTGAGGACAACTATAATCTCGTAAGGCTGTATTCTGAACAAGTCTCATATCAAGGTAGTCGACTTAACAAACTGTAGTTTTTATTGAACTTAGTCCGGATGGGAAGCATTTTTTATATACCTACAAAAACATCCTTTTTGACCAAGTATTCTTTAGGTATTTATGT